CAGAGGGCTGGGCTCAATGATCTTCCGAGGTCCCTTCCAGCCCTAATGTCTATGAAAGCTATGAAATATCCTAAATACCATTATTTAGCATTAGTTGAAAAAAAATCTGTGTGGAGGTGGGGTTACAGAAGATTCTGAAAAAACCCTGACATTTCAAAAGTTCCTTGTTTTGCTTGCAGAGATCAAAAAAGGTCCATTTTTTTTAATCAATGTTTATTATATTTTTTCCTCAAAGTATTACAGTATATAATCAATTAAAATATTGTCAAAATTTCTCACTTTCCCCAAAATGCATTTCTTACCAAAAAACAAATTTCTGGTATGCTTTAAAACAAACAACCAACCAACCAACCAACCAACCATGGAAATGACCATCTATTTCTAACCCCCCTCCCCCCCAACAATCTGATTCTGAAAACAATGGACTCAAATATTGATTAAAAACAATGCAGGAAATTGTGTAAAACAAGAAATGTTAATGATCCCAACAGCATCTCTCAAAAAGATTTGTTTTAGAAAACAAATAATTTTTCAACTGAGGAAACCCTTTGTCCATAAAAGAAAAATTGTGTCAAGCTTTGCTAAAGTTAGAAAGTGAACCCCCAAACATGCATTTGCTTCTTTCCCCTCCATAAATTAAACAAAAAAAAAAAAAAGATATTGGCCTTACATACCGCATCCCATACTACTGCTGCTACACCCAGTTGTTTCCAGTTTTGTTTGATTTCAATTGTGTGGTTGGCAAAATGGTAAGTAGATGCTGATTTATGCAACTTCTGCAATCCCCAAACAGCATTTTCATCATAGGGAATCAAAGCCATTTTAAAACCCTCTGACCTGTGGAGTACAAAAAAAAGTCTATGTGAAGCTTCAATGACAAACATGTGTATGTTCTCCTCTGCCTCAAAGTTTTTATTTTTGTTTGTTTGACTTGATGGAAATTCCAAATGCCACCTTTGCTCCCAAGATGCTGAAATGCATCCAGTGATACCACAAACACCCAGATCACAAAATCCTAACCCTGATTTCAGTGAGGTCACAAATGGATTCCAGTTGGAATATCTTCAATGAATCAGGAAGTCCTTAGAGGATTTCCAAAGGGGAAAATATTTTAAGAAGGATAAACCCTGGTTCATAATAATTAACGTTTAGATGACACCAAGATGTGGGGAGAGGTAGGCATGCTCGAAGGGGGAGAGGGGCTGCAATTAGATTTGGACAGACTACAGAAGTGGGTGGATGGTAATAGGATAGGCTTCAATGTAGACAGATGCAGGGTGCTGCTCCTGGGGAGAAGGAATCTACAGCATACATACAAGCTGGGGAGCTCCCCACTTGAGAGCACAGATGTGCAAAGGGATCTTGGAGTCATTACTGACTCCAAGATGAACATGAGCCACCAATGCCAGGCTGCAGCCAGCAAAGCCAACCGCACCTTGTCGTGCATCCAAAGATGCATCTCAAGCCGGCCCAGAGAGGTGATACTCCCCCTCTACGCAACATTGGTCTGGCCTCAATTGGAGTACTGCGTCCAGTTCTGGGCACCGCAGTTTAAGAAGGATGTGGCGTGCCTTGAGAGAGTTCAGAGGAGGGCCACCCGCTTGGCTGGAGGGCAACAGGGCAGGCCCTATGAGGAGAGGCTGAGGGACCTGAACCTGTTCAGCCTCAGCAAGCAGAGGCTGAGGGGGGATCTGGTGGCTGCCTACAAACTCATTAGGGGAGATCAGCAGCAAATAGGAAGGGTCCTATTCCCCCCAGCAGCAGCTGGGGTGATGAGGAACAATGGTCAGAAGCTGCTGGAGAATAGGTTCAGGTTAGAAATTAGGAGGCACTATTTCACTGTTAGGGTGGCTAGGATCTGGAACGAACTTCCTAGGGAAGTGGCCCTCGCTCCTACCTTGGGTAAATTCAAAAAGAGGTTGGACGAACACTTGTCTGGGGTCATGTGATCCCAGCGTGCGCTCCTGCCAGTGGTGGGGGTTCAGACTAGATGATCTGTTCGGGTCCCTTCTCACCCCAAACTACTATGAAACTATGAGATTTACAGTTCACGGGGCATTTAGCATACAAATCTGACCTTAACTCACTCTGTTTTTGCTTTGCAATCCATCTTAACCAACTGTCCTACTGATTGTCTTACTTTGTAAGGCAGTAAAGGACCCTGGAGGCAGAGCACTATTTTCAGAATAAGCAGTCAGTGGGTAGCATGCATGAAAATTTTAAATGAGATTGTTCTTTAGCATCTCTTTAATGGAGTAAGGTGAGGGGTCATATTGGCTTTTCAGCCACCTGTAAATTGAGCTTAGCAATGATCAGATTTAATGTACCATAGCCCATGTGATGTACAGAGAAAATGTTTCAAGTATTATGAAAGACTGTCTTTCTGTTTATCCGTTCAATTGTGCACTGCTGCCTGCATGAATTCATACCATTAAATCAAAGCAGCTCTTAAAGTTAGGACAAAGATACAGATAAAACAGCCCAGATATATATGCCTTCAGAGGAGTTGAGATAAGTGTTTGGGCTATCAGCCAGAGGGAGAGATCATCTGTACGACTCCATTTTGGCTAAAACGGATCATTTCTCCCTAGGCTAAACTTAGGATCAGAGACCAAAAACTTCAAAAAGCCTAGATGAGGGAGGGGGCTGGGTGAGCTAGCAGAGGCAACCAAGAGGAGTCGGTGAAAAGGGGCCAACCCAGGTGCCACCCGACCAGGCAAGACAAGCAGGCACTCATGCCACGGTTAGCACTGGCTGTGTGTGTAGCCAGAGATGGGATGAGGTGGGCAGGGGGGATCGGCTGGGGCCAGCAATACCCGTGCAGAGAAAGATCACGATGTCTTCTGGGAGAGAAAGGAAGTGCTCCCGAGATGCGGGTAACCTTTCCAGCGCCTTCCGCGCCCTCCAGCACTGCCTCGCCCTCTCCCCGGGGGGCGGGAGCGCCGCGCCGCGCCGGGCCACCCCGCTCTTTCGCCGCCACGGGGGTGTTGGGGGGGGGTCCCTTTTATTGGCAGCTTTGGTGGCCCCGCCCTCTCTGTGCCTCAGTTTCCCCACGCCCTGGGCATCCTCCCCCAAGGACGAGGCAGCAACACCCCCCGCCGGGGTCAGGAGGGAGCCCCGGAAGGCGCGGGGGGGAGGGGATACTCACACGCCGGCGCCTCCACAAGCCTCGCCGAGTCCCGAGCCCCGCCCCTTAAAGGGGCCGCGCCGGGCACACGCAGCAGCGCCCTGCGGGGGAGGGGTCTGGGACTCCGCGCTGCGCCCCGCCTCTTGCAGCTGCACCGGCTCGGGGCGCGGGTAGGGGGGGGAGGCTTGGCTGGAAACCCCCTTGCTGGGAAGCTGCCTGAGCGCCCTCGGGCCGGGCCCTCCTGCTGCTGGGTTGCAACTGTGAAATGCTCGTGCTGGAAGCACGAAACTGCTGAAAAACTGCGGCGCAGAGACGTTCCGCCGATAACTAGGCACGACAAGAAATCCGATCTCTTGTATTAGATCCACTCAAATAGTTGGAAAACAATTCTTCTTGGCAAGCTTGCAGCTACTGTAAAAGCCTGCGACATGCACCATCGTTTTTGACAGACAAGGGTCTTTGAGTCGACGGGACATCTTTCATTAGACCTTGCCTGCCTATGTCCGTAGACCAACACGGCTTCGAGCACAAACCCAGCTACATGGCAGGTATCAAATTTTGCCGTCCAGTTGGTCTAATAAAAGATAGCACATCTACTCAAGGAATCGTACCTGCCCTTGTCCTTGGACCGACACAGCTAGGAGCAAAAGCCCAGTGATCATTTTTGAGACAGCTAATTGATGCAGCATATGCAAAACGCAAGCTACTCTCGGAGTCTTAACCAACTTTTGGCCTTGCTGTCAGTACTTCCATATGGCTGCTTGCCTCCGAATAAAGAAATGCTTCAATTTCGATGACCCAGTTCTCACCCACTGGCTGGCAACTAAAATAGTTGGAAAAAAAAACTTTGAAAGCTTGCAAAGAATTTTTTTCCAACTATTTGAGTTGGTCTGATAAAAGATATCGGATCTACCCAAAGAACCTTGTCTGCCAATGCCCTTAGACCAACACGGCTACAACCTACACCCCTAAACACTATGCAAATAAGTCTTCTTATTGACTATATTGCTCCCTATAACTGGCCAGTGAATGAGTCAGAACTGGGCCATCAAAGTTGAAGCATTTCTTTATTTTGAGGCAAGCGTTCATAAGGAAGTACTGACAGGACAGTAAGCCCAAAGGTTGGTGAAGACTCTTTGAGAGTGGCTTGCATTTTGTATATGCTGCATCAATTAGCTGCCTCAAAAGTTGTTGTATATTTTGAACACTTTTACTATGATTGATTGTACATCATACAAAGGGTTGAAATTATTGTACAAATAAGATAATTATTGTACACCTGGCAACACTGTGATGATGTGCCAAGAGGGCCCTAGTGGCACAACACAGTTTCACCCCTGTAAAAGTGCCTTTGAATGGGAATCCTGATTCCCAGCCCCGATGGGGAATGAGTGATTCTCAACTGGGCCATCCTGGGGTGCCTTGAGGTCCTCGCAAGGGTGCGATGGGCACCATGCAATGTTAGGTGAGCAAAGGTGATTCACAAGCAAGAGCAGACAGAAGGCAGGGCAGGTGAGACTTCCATGCTAAAACCAATGCAGAAGCTTCGGTGAGCCCCAGCTCACTTCCTCAGAGGCTCAGTATCTGAGGAGGTGAGCTCAGGCCCATCAAAGCTTATGCATCCCGCATTGAGTTAGTCTGTAAGGTGAGCAGGCAACCCAGAGATTTCAAAGAATCCATCGTGTTAAAAATGTTTTGACCCGTTGTGGTCTTCCTGAGTTCTTTGCAATGGAAAAATTGCCCTGTTGTTTTTCTGTTGTCAAAAAATGTGTGCAGACAGAGCTGGCATTTTCCAAGGGGTGCCTCAAGCCCAAACAAGGCTGAGAAACCACTGCAACAGATATTGTATCCATCTATGAAGGTTGTATAATTTTGGCTATAGATATATTTGCAAGTACAGTTGATATATAGAGGTGTAGTTAAACCCATAATAAAACATGTCATATTCTTTTATTAGAAAATCCTCTTGCAGATAGAAATATGGTTTTAGGCTGTCACTTAACATGCATTTCTTCACATTCAAGACTAATTAAAGCTGGTCTGAAACATTTCTTTCCCACAAAAAATGTTGAGTTTGAGGAGAAAAATCTGAAATACATTGATTCTGAAGTGCCAATATGATTCAATATTTGGGTTTCAGCCAAAGCTTTTGAGTTTTGGATTGAATATTTTATTTTCCTGTATTCAAATTCTTTACCAAAAATGGAACTTTCCCATGCAAAGCAGACACTTTTATTCCTGGAAAATTTTCATCCCGTCCTAATAGCAATATGATTATTATGCAGGAAGTGTAAGATTTGTGTGGCTGTGTCTTACTGAATGCAACTGATCTCACCTAATTTTGGAAGTTCAGCAGTCCTGGGCCTAGTTACTACTTGGATGAGAGATTATTTTGGAATCCCAGCTGCCTTAGAGACAAGGCAAGGGTTGTATATGAACATCTGGCAAATAATAGACAATAGAAACTGAATGTCTGGCAAGACTTGATTTGGCTCCATTGCTGATGAGCTGATGGACAGGAACAAAAAGAAAAGTAAGATGTATTATTTATTGAACTATTCAATGTCATGCTTTTAAAAATCTGGTATTTTGTGAATGATGCGATAAGTACTGTAAGTACATTCTTGTCACTTAGGGTATTGTTCTTGTTACTTAGCAACATTAATTAGTTTTCAAAAGAAAGATTCTTTGGTTTGGTTTAGCTTTAAAAGTTTTGCTAGTATAGCTATGACATTTAGGAGTGTGAAAAAATGGCACCTTCATGCAATGTAAGTATGCCATCAAAAAACCTACCGTGCATGCAGTTATATAGAATTCCTTTTGGAGAAGTGGTTAGCTGGTACAAGCTGCATCTCCACAAGAGATTTTGCTGTTATGACTCCACTGATATAACTCTGCTGTCAAACCCTTTTAAGTGTATGGAAGGCTTTTTCCCCCCTCAAATCTCCCTAAGGAATTTCATACATTAGATTTGATGCCTACAACTTGGAAACCTAAGCATTAAATAACTATGTGAAAGAGGTACCTGAACTCTTAAAGAACTTCAGAAACTCTTTTGGACTCCTCATGATTTCAGGTGTATTTGTTTTCTTCAGAAGTTACTGCTGGGGAAAGGTTCGATGGAAAAGGGGGAAGCCTCGCATTTTGACCTACATTTCTGTACTTAAGAACATGATCTCAAGCACCTGGATATTTTCATTACCAGGCTCTAATGTCTACACTGGACTTTTATCTTGGTTAAAGGACACACCACTGTCGCTTTAGTGTGGACTGCTTGGTGTAAACATACCTACAGCTTCACTGGTGTATGAGGGTTCATTTGCCTCTGATTCTGCTTAATATCTTCTTGTTTGATATAGGAAAGTGACAGAACCTGACATGTTTCTCTCCTTCAGTATCTGCAGTATCCAGGTATTTGGAACCTCATCCAAACTCCCTTAAAATTTGCTGGCATTTTCACATCAGCTTTACTGAGCTTTGGGTCCAGCCCTAAATACCCAGACTATCACTTTAAATGGTATAGGATCAGATTCTCAAATGACTTCCCTCTGGCAGTGCAAAGTCACCTCTACCTGCAGAGAACCAGTGAGGAATTCCACTGCTGCAGGACAGGGGCGTCAAACTCATCCAGTCCTGCAGGCTAGGTGGAGGTCGCTGGGCTAAGCTACAAGCCATACCAGGACCATGTCCCAGAACCAGCATTCGGGGCTGATCCAACAGTGCACTGCACGTAGCATATGCCCTGCACAGCATACAGTGTTCACGATACTGGGTCCTATCCACATCCCAGATTGTCTCTGCGTGGCATCACTCTAAGACCCACAGGCTGGATCATAGGGCTCCACAGGCTGGATCTAGCCTGTAGGCCTTATGTTTGACACCCCTGGTGTAGGAGAACTCTCAGCCAATATAAAGCTTACATCACTTGCCAGCCTCCTGAACCTGCCGCATAATAAGGAATGAGGGATCAGATTAGAGAGCTCCATCACATCTATCCTCTACTACTATAAGGTCCCAGGACTCTCCTCAGCTGCTCTAAACTTCATCAGGGCCAGGGTCTGTGCTGATCAACCTTCAAAATTAGGGAGTGAAACCATTAACTCCCTTGAAACTGATGAGTTTAGAAAGTAGCACATTAGTTTCATCTTCCTTAACACACAAGCTCCTCTCAGAGCAGGAGAGAGAGAGGGAACATCATTCCTGATGTTTCCTCTCTCTCTCTCCTGCTGAGAGGAGCTTGTGTGTTAAGGAAGATGAAACTAATGTGCTACTTTCTAAACTCATCAGTTTCAAGGGAGTTAATCCACACCAGAGCAAATTTTTCAGAGGTACATTAAAACAGGGGTCAGCAACATATGACCTGCCAGTTGAATCTGGAGCAACTGGATCAAGCCTGCAGAGCCAGAGGGTTTTGTCTCTAATGAGGTTATGTTGGGGCTGGGCAGTGAAGAGCTGGGCCCTGCTCTCTGCTCACTGGCTGCAGCATAGACACAGCTTCCAGCTGGTGGGGAACTGAGCCAGGGCTAGATAGTTTCCAGCTGTGCCCAGACTGTAGCCAAGGAGGCAGGGAGAAGCAGCAGCAGTGCAGATGCAGTTTCTACCTGCCTGACTCCATAGTAGCTCAACACCCTGTGAGCTGTGCTTATGCCTCAGCTAGGGAGTTGGGGGCTGGAACAAGTGGCACTGGCATAGCTCCCAGATGCCTGGCTCTGGCACAGGTGCAGACCCCCTCACTGCTGCCCTGCCACTGAAGCCACATTGTTCCAGCCCACACTTGAAAAGCTTGCTGGGCCCTGCATTACTAGACTGTGTAGGAGTCAGATGAACTAAGACTTCTTCTAAAAGTTCTGTTCCTGTATGGAAGTAGGAATTGGAATTTTGTTTCCCCAAAACTAGTTTACACCTGTCTTACGAGTAAAAAGGTGGCAAGCCCTGTTAGTCTGAAATCGGAAGGTATGGCAAAGACCTTAGTGACTAACTTGTGCAGAGAGGCATGACCTTTCATAGGCAACATAAATTAATCTAAGCAATCCCCCTGGT